TACATTTGCAAAGGTTGGCAAACCAGTTACCTGATGCGTTCACAGATACGAGAAGAGTGACAAAATCATATATCCCCGCTGCTAATGCTCCATCAAAAATAAATGTTCCGGAACTAGTTATTGATGGGAATAAAGCAAATGAACCACAAGTTCAGTTAAAGCGCGGGAGGCCGATGGGCTCGAAGGATAAAAATCCTCGAAAGAAAAAAAAATTGGGAGACAAGGTTCCAGAAGAACCGAATAAAGAAAAATGTCTTGAAGACATTGGTGAAAAGGTTACAGAAGAACCATATAAAGATATATGTCTTGAAGACATACATGAAGAGGTTCCAGAAGAACCAATTAAAGAAGTTCGTCTCGAAAACGAACATGATACTGAAAAGTATGAGATTTCCATTAACTTCGCCCAAAGTGGGACATTATAGGCTAGAAGCGAGATAAATGATACAAATGGAATATTCTCCTTTTCGGTATCTAAAGAAATTGAAAATGAAAATGATGATCCAGACCCAAGGTCCGTGTCAGAGTGCCAGAAAAGGCCTGACTGGGAGAAATGGCAGATTGCCATGAGAAATGAATTAATCTCTCTGAATAAAAGAAATGTCTTTGGACCTATAGTCATTACACCAGAAGATGTAATGCCAGTCGGGTGCAAATGGGTTTTTTTGAGAAAAAGAAATGAGAAAAACGAGGTCACTAGATATAAAGCCCGACTTGTGGCACAAGGTTTTTCTCAAAGACCGGGAATTGATTATGAAGATACATATTTCCCAGTCATGGATGCAATCACATTCAGGTACTTAATGAGCCTAACGGCATCTAAAAATCTAGAAATGTACCTTATGGATGTTGTGACTGCATATCTATATGGATCACTTGATAGTGATATATATATGAAAATTCCAGAGGGAGTAAAGATCCCAGAAGGATCAAAGATGCCTGAAGCATCTAAAGACATATGTGCGGTCAAATTACAGCGATCACTTTACGGATTAAAACAATCTGGTCGCATGTGGTATAATCGCTTAAGTGAATATTTGTTAAGTAAAGGATACATCAACAATGCGATATGCCCTTGCGTATTTATTAAGAAATCCTCGTCAGGATTTGTGATCATTGCTGTATATGTTGATGACCTGAACATAATCGGAACTCAAAAGGAGATTGATGATGCACGAACTCACATGAAAGAAGAGTTCGAAATGAAAGATCTTGGAAAGACAAAATTTTGTCTAGGGCTCCAGATTGAGCATTTCCAAGATGGAATATTTGTGCATCAATCAAATTACACCAAAAGGGTGTTAAAACGCTTTAAAATGGATAAAACAACTCCTTTGAGTACTCCAATGGTCAATAGATCACTTGATAACAAGGATCCATTTCGACCTTGTGAAGATAGCGAAAATGTATTAGGTCCTGAAGTACCTTATATGAGCGCTATCGGTGGGCTTATGTATGGTGCAAATTGTACTCAACCAGATATAGCCTTTGCTACTAATCTACTTGCAAGATACAGCTCATCTCCTACGCGCAGACATTGGAATGGGATAAAACATATTTTTCGTTATCTCCAAGGTACGATTGATCTGGGTTTATTTTATCATAGAAACCCCAAAGTTGGTCTAGTTGGTTTTGCAGATGCAGGATATTTATCAGATCCGCATAAAGCTCGATCGTAAACTGGATATGTTTTCACAATTGGTGGAACGGCGATCTCATGGCGTTCTCAAAAACAGACTTTGGTCGCCACTTCTTCAAATTATGCGGAAATCATTGCTCTTCATGAAGCATGTAGAGAATGCATATGGCTCAGATCCATGACTCAACATATACAAGGTGCAAGTGGAATAGTCATCAATACAGAACCAACAAAAGTATTTGAAGATAATGCTGCATGTGTCGCTCAACTAAAAGAAGGCTATATCAAGAGTGACAGAACGAAACATATTCCTCCAAGATTTTTCTCTTATACACAAGAACTCGAGAAGAATCAAGAAGTCGATATCCAGTATGTTCGTTCATGTGAAAATGCGGCGGACCTCTTTACAAAGGCGCTTCCTACTACAGTATTCAGAAAGCATATTCAAAGTATCGGAATGCACCATTTGCGAGATTTATGAAGAAAACATTATATCCGTCATTCCAGAGGGAGATTGCATTACTGTACTCTTTTTCCCTTATCATGGTTTTTATTCCATTGAGTTTTTCCATGATAAGGTTTTTAATGAGGCAGTACGTAATATATTATTAGTAATGGATAATTAAGAGGAAGTATTATAATATGTTGTAATTATCCATACTTTTACCGACATAGTTTTACCGACTCAATACAGTGTATAAATAGACCTCTCCCTCTTTCACTTGTAGTAACGTGTGTGTGAAAAGTAATCAATAATTAAAAGAGATTGTTCATTCTCTCCTCCTTTCTTTAATACACATATACATATATATATACATACAAAATATATATCTCATCATATAATATATAAACTCAAGTTTTTATCAAGTTCAATTTAATCGCTTAAATGATGGAATAGCTAGCAATCTATTGGACATGTTAGATCTCCACATAGATGAAACAACATGCGTGGTAAGAAGAAAAAACAATGAAAACTAAAGTAAAAACAATGAAAGTAAAGCATATAAAATGTAACTAAATTTCCATATTAATATGGCATGTTACATTAGAAATCACGTGTCGCATAGCAGTTAAATTGATGGTAAAATTGTCCAGAAAATATTTGTTGTTACATCTTTATTAGTTTCCTAATGTAAGTTAAATTCATAGCAATTTGTAGAGATGTCAAACGGGCCAACCCGCGTCCAAATAGCCCGACCCGATGCGGGTTTAATTTTTTTCCGGGTCTGGCGGATTGGCCCATCATAAGCTGCGGTCCCATATTGATGTGTCCAAGCCCGACCCGCCTATATTCTGCGGTTTTGCGGGCTGGCCTGCGGATTCATACTTTCTTCTTCATCTTAAAGTTTTTATGATATTTAGATTTATAGTACCAGAAAATTTGCTAGAGGAGAATAAAATTTTCCTCGTAACTGAATTACAATATGCATAAGAAACAAAACTAAAGAAAATTCTTGTCTAAGTAAATTCGATGAACAAACAAATGAATTCGATAAACCTCTTATACAAAACTCCTAACCCTAGGATACCATAAGATTTGAAAAATCAATTTAACGGTAAAAATAGACACTTAGTTTTGAAAAGCAAATAAATGAATTACAAATAATGATACACATAAAAACTGGTAATTTAAGCTAAATAACCATCAAGATACAAGCAACAAGACATTCACATATAAAATAAATAATAAAAAATATGAACAAAGCTTATTTGTTAGTCTAGCGTACAAACAAATATGATTTTCAAGCAAAACTATTTATTATCAATTCAAGATTTAAGCGATTCTAAATTACCTTTGCATCGCTGCAGACAAAATAAAACCACGTCCGTGATATAGTCGATGAGCAAAACCAACAAAAAACAAGCAAACTTATGACACTAAACTGAAATTAATTAAAACTCTAAAAAAAATTACTTGTTTTTAGCTGAAGACAATGACCAGATTTTCTCTCAAATTCAAAAATCCAATCACAGAATCTGAATCGAATCGAATATAAAACATATACTAGTTTGATGATTCTTTGATCACATTGAAATGAAGCTATCACAAAGCCCAATAGCTGAAGTATGATTCCACTAGGCTTCGATTCACTCTATGAAACTACTACTTCGAAATCTATTAATCAAAAATGACAAAATACTTCACTTTTCGAAGTTTACAAGAAAACATCAAATTTTGCGGGTTGGCCCGCAAACCCGCGGATCCGCTTTGACCCGATCCGCAAAAGCCCAACGTCCACGCGGGTTTAGACCGCAAAACCCGCTTTTTATTTGGACAAATTTTATGGTGTCCAAGCCCGCACCGCTACGGTTTTACTTGGGCCGAACCCGCGGGTCAGAGCCCAATTTGACACCTCTAGCAATTTGGCTGATTAACTCCAAAATATATTCAATAATATAATAATATTTTAACATTTATAGTTTTTTTTCATTAAAACTTAATAATTTAGTGTTTCACAAATCTGTATACTTATTTTTGTTTGTGTAGTGATTTGCTTATCTGTCGCGCTCACAACGAATTTCATAATCTTTCGATTACGTGTCAATTCCAGAATTAATTTTAGCTGTAAAAAGACCGTTTAGCCATATTTAACAATTACGTGTTATTTTTTATTGATTATTATCTGCTGATGTGTAAAATAAAAACTTAAAACAAAGCAGTCTAAATTATTATGATTTAATGTTTAATTTTATAGTCAATCAAACCGTTTCTAAAATTATATAAAACTGAAATTTAGAAAAAAATAAACAATTTTGTTTTTAAAAAATAACAACGTTTTTAAAATAAAAAATAAATATAAAAACTATATATCTTAATGATTACCATTTTTTATATGTTACCAAAATTTAGAAAAATTTAACAAAAATGTTAAAAAAACAAAAAACTTAATGATTACTATTTTTAAAAGTTATATAAAATCAAAATTTAGAAAAAATAACAAAAAGTAAAAAAAACAATAAATAAAATATATATGTCTAATGAAATGTCGTTAATTATAATATTTTTTTTTCCGTTAATTATAATATCTAGATTATGATTTTTGATTTCTTATGTATATACTACTTCAAACATCTTTACCATTTTATTAAAATAGTTTTTGTAAATTTCGAATTCATTTAATTTAAAACTGAAATGAAAAAAACTAATGCTCTTAAAATCATTTATTTACAAAATTACATTTGATAGATATATATAGTCCATGTCTTGCGTGGACAAATTAACTAGTATTTAGATTATATAGATTTACTCTTAAATGAATTGAGATATGATATTAAATAAGGAAATTATATTCTGTAAGTTTAGGCTTATAAATACCTCGTTCTTCTCAATTGCAATGATCAACTAAAATAATAAAAGATACTCTAACAATACTTATCGAGATAGTTTTCTTCCGAACGTGTTTACGAGGTACGACCTTTCGGAACTAGTATTCTGCACAACAAATTTATCTACATATTTTCCTGAAATGAAATTTCACTGAAACAAGGTGAATTCTTATATGTAGGCATGTAGCTTGTTGTTAATTTTTTTTTTTTAGTTATTGTTATGTTCTTGCTATACCGTTAGTTCATATATATTGTTCCAAGAAGTAGTCAAGTAGACGTAGAAAAGTAAAGATAAACAGAAGAGTTTTTTTATGTACTTAGTATTCTATTTAAATACTAATCGTAGAAATTTCTCCTACTATTTGCTTACTTCCTATTTAGTTTTCATCATGTTCGTTTTGTTCATATCTTTTGTTCCTGGAGAAATGTCTCCATATGCTTTTCTTATTTTTTGTTAGGCGGTAAATGAATAAATTTGTGGTTTTTACTTTCAGCAAAATGTTATCCGCTACAACAGAAGCACAAAAAGTCGAAATTTCTCAGAGAATTCAAGAAACAATTTGTGAAGATAGAATTAGTGCGCTACCCGACGATTTGTTAGTACGTATCTTGTTGTTTATTCCGACAAAAGATGTAGCGGCCACCATGATTTTGTCGAAACGATGGCGGATTATCTGGACAATGGTGCCAAGACTTGAGTTCAAAGACATCGAGACAAGTACTAATGGTGAACATGAGATCAGCGTTTGGGGGTTTCTTGAGAAGTTTTTGCGACTCCACAAGGCACCTTCACTAGAAAGCTTGCGTATCCAACTTGGTCAAAATTGTCCTACTGATGTTGATGTTACAAAATGGGTTTCAAACGCAGTCGATGGTAACGTGCGCAAGTTACTGTTTGATCTTAGGTGGTCTGCGAAACCTGTCAGCATGCCAAACAGCCTTTACACTTGTAAAACGCTCATTGAATTGGAACTCTCTAATAAGATTCTCCTGGATGTTCCTTCTTCAGTTTGCCTCCCATCCGTTACAACGCTTTACCTTTGGAAGGTGCTGTATAAAGATGAAGCTTCTTTTGTTAAGCTTCTATCAAGTTGTCCTGTTCTCAAAAATTTGGATGTGATTCGATGTTCAGAAGATGATGACAATGTGAAAAGATGCACTGTGAAAGTGCCTTCTCTCAAGAAGTTCAGCTACTTTAGTAATAGGTCATCATCACTTGGCAATGATGTAGCTGATGATATTGCTGGGTCAGTGGTCTTAGATTGTCCAGCACTAAAGCATCTCTGTCTTTTTGATACTTCAAGAGACTCTTATTGTATCGGGAATATGCCTTACATTGTTGAAGCAAATATTACCATTTTTGGCTCCCCGAATAATAACTTTCTGAGATATCTTTCCGCGGCCACGACTCTATACTTGGAATTGAACCATAGAATGGCAGTAATTTTCGAGCTCCCACTTTTTGTTTTTTTTTTGTTTATTTATTGTGGTAACGTGTTATTAAGTCTATATATGGTGTTGAGTGCATTACAGGTGATGTGTAAACCCGACAACTTCTCTCAGCTTGTAGATCTTCTGATAAGGCCAGATGACACAGACTGGTTGGAACAACTTATGCTTCTGCTAAAAAATAATCCTAAACTTAAAAGTCTTAGGATCAGCTCTGTAAGTAACAACTTATGCACATGCAGTTTTAATGGACTAACACTAAATATAACATGTATATTGTGCTGTTTTTTTTTTTTCAGGATTTCAAAAATGTTCCACAAAAGTGGAACAAACCGGATCATGTTCCCGAATGCTTGGCATCCCATCTTGAATTATTTGAGATATCATATAAAGGAAAAAAGGAAGAACAAGAATTTGTGGCATACATCCTAGCAAACACAAAGTATTTAAAGGAAGCGAAAATCTTCCTAGATAGCAAGAATGGAAACAAGCAAAAGAAGATGCGTGAAGAATTGAATTCTATGTTTAAGGTTTCACCATCATGTCGATTAGTTATTATCAACGAACAGGATAGATTCATGAGTTTCTTTAACACTCCCTGAATAGATTTTTTTTTTTCCTTCTTGAGATTTTGTAGTTGATAATATGTTTTTGTGAAATTTATAATTTCTCTCCCTACACTCTTTTGGACTAAGAGTCTAAGACCCAAGATAATATCAGTTCCTCTTGGACCAATACGGTGGAGTTTGTTTTTGTTTTATTTTCCCTCACGGTGGAATTTATTATGTTGCCTGGTGACAAATAAAATACCGGGTTTTACGACAACTTATGTTTTCTCTGCACTCATCCATAATTTTTTTTTCCATAATTAACTATTTATAGATGCTTACACAACATAAATTTCTTCTTTTTTCTTTTCCACAACATAGTTTCTTCTTTTTTCCCTTTTTAATTTATGAATAAGCATAAGATAATTTTCATACTTTTTTGGTGTTATTTTTGCGTGTCTTTTTTTTTTCTTTATTTTTGCGTATCTTATTTCACATTTTGCTATGCGTAAAGATTATTAATCCATTCGTCACTAATCAGAATGATGACAGTTGCTCGGAACTTTCCAAAATAAAACGAAATTAAAGGAAAATAGCAAAATGGTCGGTAAAGTATAAAGACTTCAAAAAGAAATAAAAAACTATAAAGTAAAGACTTCATTCCATTATCACGAGACCCATAAAACAAAAGTGAGTTTCCTCAATGAGGAAATCTGAGCCGCTGATCGAGGAGGTCAAGTCAACAAAGGCCACACTTAAACGGTTGATATCACATACAAGTTCGAACTCAGTCTATCCTTACATATATGTAAAATAATAATAAGTTTGAATAGTTTCTAGGTTCAACACGGAAAGCATACGTGTTAAGTGAATGAAAAATTTGCCTATACAAAAAAAAAACTTTTTGTATATTAAAATGGTTTGTTATTTTGTTGTAAGTTTACCAACGAATCTAAAAACCGCTCATGGAAGCATTATAGTTTCTTTTTTTTTTGCTATGAATGTTAATATCATAAGCATTAGAATTGAATTGAATTGAATTAGAATGAATTAGACTTTCTATAAAATTCTACTTTTTTTCAATGTTGTATGTCATGGAGTCTTTTAAATTCATGTGTTATTGGATTATATATTTCTAATCATTCTTCTAAATTACTTTAAATTCTAGTGTTATTCAATTGATTGATTTCTTGATTCTATTAAATGTTTGTGTTATTCAATTTTATTACAGCATTTATGATATTGAAATTTGATTAGAATTTAATAGAATTACTTTAAAAAATACAAAGAACCAAATCCGAGCATTTTTGCTGTTATTTTGACAGAATTCAGTAAAATCCCAACTAAAACTTTAAATTACTTTAAAATTAATTAATTTTAAATTTATTTGCATTCTCTTAAATTCTAGTATCCAATACCTCCACCTTATAGTTCTGTAAAAAGGAAAATTCTTTGCTACATTTAACAGAACCATAATGCTTTTCCACAAGGTGCAAGTGTAACACCACTGCATAACAAAACTCTCGTAACAACAAAAATATATCACCAATAATTAGTGGTGGATCTAGAAAAAAAATTAGTTGGAGAAATAATTTTATAAATAAGAAAAAAAATTTAGTTGGAGACAACTTTTTATTTTTTATTACTAAATAAAAATTATTTAAAATAAATATATACGTTATTTAAGAAAAAAAAATAAAAATAGTGGGGGCACATAACCTCATAGGTTGTTCATGTGCCCTCTAGTATTTTTTATTTTTTCTTAAATAGTTTAAGTAAATTTAATTAATTTTTTTAAATTTAATGGTAAAAAAGATAAAGTTACCTCAACAAAAAAAATTTCTATATTTATAAAATTATTCCCCCAACTAAATATTTTTCTATGTCCACCACTGTCTCCGACCCTGCCAGTAACTGCAAAACGAATCGAACTTTGGTGAAATTCACAAACAGTAACAACAAATTATAAGGCTTTTTAAGTTTTAACAGTCCAGATTAAGAGATGAGAGGCTTTTAAAATATGTGACTAGATCTCGTTCGTAGACTACCTTTAAGCAACGGTGTTTTAGGTGACTTAAACTTTATTAGTATGTATATAGCTATTAAAAGACCACCTCCAGTCCACTTAAGAAAAATCAAACTTCCGTCACAAGGAGAAATTTTATTAGGTGTAGGATAATATAATATACAGAAAGACAAGCCTCATTTGCTATAAATAAGAGTCCAAGAGAGTTGACACAAAAAAAGACCCCCACAAACAACACAAAGAACAAAAAGAAAGTAAAGAAAGATCATTGTTAATATAACGATGATGATGATGGGCGATACATTTGGAAGTATAGGCTCAAGCATTGCAAGTTTGTTCTTTGTTTGGGCAACAATTCAACAAATCTTCCCTAACCACTTGAAGATTGCTATCAAAGAGTTTATTTTGTCTTCTTTCCAACAACTCTGTTTTGCTCAAAGAGTTTCAGACCATTTAACAAACTTGTTCTCTCCTTATGTCGAGATTAACTTCCCCGAGAGCGATGAATACCGTTACAACCACGCTTTCTCAGCCATCGAGACCTACCTTGGGTCAAAAGCAACTGAAAAATCCAAACTTCTCAAAGGAAGTCAAGTGAAGGAAAGCAAAGGTTTGGTCTTGAAACGAGACGAGAAGAAAATCAGAGACGAATACAAAGGAGCTAATGTTTGGTGGGAGATTGTGACTCCTACTGAAGGAGAAAGATCTTACAAGCTCACTTTTCACAACCGTGCAAGAAGTCTCATAACCGAATCATACATACAATATGTGCTTGAAGAAGGGAAATCGATTAAAGCCAAGAAAAAGCAGACGAAGCTGTTCACGAATAACCCGAGTTCTCAATGGGTTTTTAGCCAGAATATGTGGAGATTTATTGACTTTGAGCACCCTGCGAGTTTTGAGACTCTAGCCATGGATCCAGAGAAGAAAGAAGAGATCATGAATGATCTCACCGCTTTCAGAAATGGGAAGGACTATTACAAGAAGATAGGGAAAGCTTGGAAGCGAGGTTACTTGTTGTATGGACCACCAGGAACCGGTAAGTCCACCATGATTTCAGCCATGGCTAATTTTCTAAACTATAACATCTATGACCTCGAACTCACGGCTATAAAGAACAACTCGGAGTTGAGGAAACTGCTTACAGCGACATCAAGCAAGTCCATTGTTGTGATTGAAGACATAGATTGCTCTGTAGATCTCACCGGTAACAGAATCAAGAAGGACAGAAACTCGATGGAAAGAAACAGAGGACAAGATAAAGACGAAAACTCGGTTACACTCTCTGGACTTCTCAACTTCATTGATGGTATTTGGTCGGCTTGTGGACAAGAAAGGATTGTTGTGTTCACAACAAACCATTTGGAAAAACTTGACCCTGCTTTGATTAGGAGAGGAAGAATGGATATGCACATTGAGTTGTCTTACTGCACTTACGAAGCGTTCACGATTCTTGCCAAGAATTACCTGGATCTTGATGATCATCCTTTGTTCGGAAAAATCAAGTCTTTGTTGAAAGAGACAGAGATTTCCCCAGCTGATGTAGCAGAGAACTTGATGGCCAGAAACCATCAAGTAGACGTTGAAGGATCCTTGAACAATCTGATCAAAGCTCTGGAGAAAAAGAAGAATAGTCAGATGAGCAAGGATGAGAAGAAAAACAACAAATTCAGAATATTTGGTTGATGTTCTTGCTTAAAACCTTATATTGTTTTTCTTTTACTAGTGATTCCACTAAGTTTGCAATGTTCTATTTTAAATGATATTTACCTTCTCTAAGAAATTATAATTTAAAGGAGAGTAACTGGCTTAAAGCAGAGTGGCAAAGTTTGCATAAAGTGAAAGAGAAGTTTTAACACTTTGAAAATCTCAAAAAATTCCAATATGATGTGAAAATGTGAGAACTACAACAATACATTAAGGCATATTCTGTGACACATGTGCTTCCCAAAAGCCATAGCCTAAAATGTTCAGTATCTTCACTTATACTCTTGACTAAAAGAGAGACACTATCAGATTCTAAATCACATCTAGTCCCAAAAATGAAAGCTTCTTGATTGATATTCTGCAATGTGATTCACTAAGATTTACTTGCATTGTTTTGGTCGGAAATTCTCATTAGATAACAGCCAAGTAACCAGATTCTCAAGCCGTTTAGCTCCTGGACCAGGCCTGATAACATCTGTGTCACCAATAAGAGCACAAGGGTCACTTCCATTTCCTTGGCTTCCAATGCACCAACCACCAGGTGTAACCATCCCAGGACCTCGGTTAAGAAGCTCATCATCGATCTTGTCAAGGACAGGATCTTCTCTTCTGAATTTTCTTGCAAACGGAGCATTGCTATTGACCATTTTATCCATGTCTGCAAGAGTGAGATGGTGTGGATGCTGCTTAGGCGGATTGTCCCACGATATGAAGTGCAGGTCGCTGTTCACTGTTGTGTTTCTGAATTCCTCGGCGTTGCAGAGAACGGTGTGAAAATATCCTTCCGGAGAAGATAGAAAATTCGAGTAGTACATTAAGACCGTGCGAGGTAAATTATCCCAACCCCAAATACAATAGTCGATGAATGGCCGAGATAACGCCATCCATGCAGAGCCTGTTTCCACGACTCACATGTTAGTCAAATGTGAAATCAAAACAATGTTAAAAATCAAATGGCCGACAGATTCTGACAAAAGTCTTCCAAACAATCGAAGACAACACATAACACCAGAATCTTTAAAGATCATGTGCAGAAATTTTCTTAGCACATGTTCTGAAAACGATGAAAGTTATGCATAATGATTCAGTGTAGTTCAAGAGATGGAGCAAACCTAAGAAAGACCGACCGAACTAAAAAGCTATGCAACATAAAGACAATCAATCAAGTCTGCAAAATTACTCAGAGATGAGAATCTTTTTCCTTAGCAATCTAAGCATAATGATTCAGTGTTTCGATCAACTAGAGATGAATCAAATCTTAGCAAATCCAACTCAAACTAAAGAGCTACACAAGACAGAGACGATAAATTAAGTCTAGGACTTGATCAGAGATGATTATAGTCTATCAAACTGGTTTTGGGTTTAGAGGGATCAAGCACCTGTGAAGAGCTTGAATGCTGTTGGGATGCTTCGTCTTTGAGTAACCCAAAAGACGTCAGATTTCTTGTTCAAATACAGTCCAGGATCTATAATTACCGGTTTTGCTCTTTGTGATCTGAAAGAAACCAAATCAAAAACAACTCCAAAACCTGAGTTTTTACTAAAAGAAACAAAAGATATAAGAAAGACAAAAACTTCAAACTTTGTTCTCTTACGCTTTCCATCCAATGTTACTAGTATGATCAATGAAGTTCAAATCCCGCGGCAAATGCGAAAATATATGCAACAAATCTGATACACAAAACACCCAACAAAAAAAAAAATATCAAAACTTGTGATGAAGAATCATAACAAAAAGTTTCGATTTTTTGTGAACATATTTCTCAGAATCTCACCATCTTGAGTCACTAGAGGGTAATCTGATGAGCTGAGATTGATGAACCAATCCCAATCAGCTCCTTCCCTGAGCAAAATCGCCGCCGCGTGAAGCGTATTCGCGACCATCGTAGGTCCACGATACGTCACGAGGTTAGCTTTCTCAATCATATGAACATTGTTGAATCTTCCAAACAGAGACGAGTTTCGGATGTATCCATGGAGATCCTCTCTCTCCTCCGGCGAGGATGCTCGGTCTAGATGAACAACGTACCGGTTATTCGGATGGTAAAGAGCGAGAAGAGTTCGCCGGAGAGATTTCCCGTCCCCGGCGGATCCAGAGATCAAGTAAGCGAATCGCGGCGGAGAAGGGAGTGAAGAGATTGGCTTTGGTTTGATCTTGGACTCGACGAAGGCCGATGATCCAGATCCGGTTAATAAAACGGGTCGGGTAAAAGGGAGGAACCGGACTCCGTTTGGTGAAGTTAGGGTTGTGAGAAACAGTAGGAAGAAAGCGAAGATTGAAGCAATCACGATAGGGAAAAATATCCATTTCCTCTCTGAATGATGATGATTCTGATGATGCCTCACACTCGAGTAATAGCTTCTCAATTTCTTCATCGAATCCAAAGACGCGAAATCGCAAAAGCAAAACCCTTTTAAAGGATTAAGGAAGGTCAATTCAAAGTTGACACATTTTTCACTATCTTCTCGGATTCTGAGGAAACGTTACAAAAGCCCCCATTTTTTATTTAAAAAATGAAAAAAAAAACTTAAACTTTGGCAAGTTGGTGAATCAGAACGGAAATTTTGGCACAGGGTTTGATTTTGTTGAGAATTTTTCTTCTTCTGATCAATGAGGGAGAAGTAACGTTAAGTAGAGAAGAGAGATTCAAAGAACTGAGAAAAAGAGACAAAGACAGAGAGAGAAGGATATATGGAAATAACGAAAACAGTAAGGTTTTTTACTGGTCAAGCGCATTAATATCAGATCAGATCTCTTAATGTGAAAATAAAGAAAAAAACTGGTATCTAGGTGATGGGCCACTTAAAAAGCCCATAAATTTGAAACTTATAAAGTCAACGTAGGACTTTAATGGCTAAAGTATGAACATAGCTACACGAGTAGAGGATGAGTAAAATAAGTAAACAACTAACATAGGGATGTTCATTTAGGCTTGGCCATTTCGGATTAATAATCAAAAATGTGAAATTACCAATAATTTGCATTTCAGGTAGAATCAGATCTTAATGTGAAAATAAAGAAAAAATCTGGAATCTAGGTGATGGGCCACTGAAAAAGCCCATAAATTTGAGACTTATAAACTATAAAGTCAACGTAGGACTTTAATGGTTAAAGTATGAACTTTAATGGTTTTAAAGTATGAACACAGGCACACAGCTACACAAGTAGAGGATGAGTAAATAAGTAAACAAAACCTAGGTATGTTCATTTGGGCATGTCCATTTCCGATTAATAATCAAAAATGTGAAATTACCAATCACTTGCATTTCAGGTAGAATATTAGATTATTTGAAATCATTACCGTAGTTTTTCTTTTGATCGAGTATAGTATGCTTTTGGATAATCGGATATCAACAAATTAAAACCATTAACAACTGTATAAAACTAAAGAAGATGATATTGATAGTTTACTCAAAGATAGGCACAAGAATCATAAGACATGTTTCATCCAGAAAACGGCTTTAGAATGCCTCGTTCTCTCATTCGATTCATGACTCTTGAAGCATCGTTTAGTCTATCTGCTCTCTCATACAAAGCCGCCACAACCAAATGCAACTCCTTGCTATTGACATTAGGATCAGATTCCAATCTCTCAAACAACGATTCAACCATCTCAAAGTCTTTCTTCGACGAGTAAAGACTCAGCATTTGGAAATGAACTTCATCAGGGAAAACACATCCTTCCTCTTGCATCTCTCTGTAAACCGTATCCGCTTTCTCAAACTCTCTTTGTTTCCCGTACGCGTTCAACACTATTGCTATGGCGTTTGAATCAGGAAAGTAACCAGCGCTTCTCATCTTCTCAAACACTTCGATGACATTAACGTACCTCTGGTTTCTCGAGTAAAGACTGATCATACAGCCAAACACAGTTATGTCTTTGACCTCCCCGGATTCAAAAGCTTGCCGGAAAACCCATGTCGCCTCTTCAATCCTTCCTGCTTTAGCAAGAATCGTGATAGCTGTTTCCCTAGGGATGTTATCAGGTTGCTTTAGTTCTTGAAGCAGACGCTTAGCATGACCCATTAGACCAACTCTTTCATAAGCTACAATCATTGTCTGATACAGAACTTGGTCTATTTCCACACCGGACCTCCTCAGCTTCTGAAACAGAGTCGCAGCTCGGTCCAATTTCCCAGCTTTTCCCCATATTGATATAATCGTCGAGTAGGTAATGGCGTTAGGCTCGATTCCTCTGCTCTGCATCTCTTGAACAAGATTCGTGGCCTTTTCGTGCTCCAGAGTTTTCCCGTACATCTTAATCATCGTGTTGTAAGTGACAACGTTCTGCTCAATGTCTTTCCTCTGCATCAACCTGAAAAGATGAATGGCTTCACCAATAAGATCGGCCTCACCGTAAACGCGTAGGATAGTGTTGTAGCTAACAACATTTGGCTCGATATCCATTTTCCTCATACTCCAAAACAACCTATCAGCTTCTTTCACCATGTCAAGCTGACCATAAACATCGATCATCACATTGCAAGTCGTGAGATCCAACGGGCAATTCACCTCTTTCATCTCTGCAAAAACCGATAAAGCTTCCAAGAACTTCTGGTTCTCGACGTAAACACTCAAAAGAGTTGAGTAACTAACTGTGTTTGGTTCCACACCAGCTTCCTTCATCTCTTTTATCAGCAAACGCGCCTCTCTGAACAATTTAGCCTTTCCATAGACATTGATCATCGAGTTATACGCGACGAGATCAGGAGTAATACCGGATTTCTTCAACCTCGAGAAAATCGAGATAGCCTTTGAGTAATCACAGAGCCTCCTAGAGAGCTCGATGAGGTTGCTGTACAGAACAAGATCACCTGAAACACGGTCTTGCTCCATCTTCTGAAGCCAAGACAAAGCCGAATCGAACATACCTTCTTTACCAAACGAAGTAATTAGCGTCGAATAAGTATACCTATCAGGCGCAAGAGCTCTCTGACGCATTTCGTCGAACAGTCCGTGTGCGATATCGAATTGCTTAGCTCTTAGCACGTTTCGAAGCACGACGTTGTAGGCGAAAACAGAAGGTGTGTACTTGGCTTCCTCGTGAACCCAATCGAGCAACGCAAGTGATCTCTGCCAGTCTTTTTCCCGGGAGAGAAGCGAAACCATGAACCGTATAGACAATTGTCTGTCTTTGTAAGAAGAAAGCAGAGAAAAAAGCTCTTGTTCGTTCTGGGTCTGGTGAATCGAAGCTAGAAGGTCGTCCATGTCGACTTTGTGATCGAGAAAGGAAGATCTTTGGTACCTCCGATGTTTCCTCAACAATGTTGAGTTCTCCGGTTGTTTTCTCCATACGTTTTTATTGGTTTGTGTGTAATGTGAAGATAAAGAGGAAGAAGAAGATGAAGAAGCAGAGACTGTGAAGATGAGAATATTGCGTTGTTTTGATTCAGGAATGGTGAAGAAGGGTATGGAGGTGTAAATATGAGGTCTGGTTAAGGGTAAAAATGGAAGAGAAGAAGATGAAGAAGATGAAGCAACGTCTATAATATACATCTTCATAAAATATTTCACAAGTCTTTCGAAAAAAGCAACATTATCTTATAAGAAAAGAATCTCAAACATACCGAGGTCACGTTTATGGTAAGATGTTAACGACGTCGTATGGTGTTTAATAAAGGCAAATGTTTTGTGAGAAGATCAGCCTTAGAATAAGGGCAAATCTTCCTTTCTCGATCACAAAACAGTTTCTCTTTGTAACCCCATGATAAAAACTGGTGTTTCGATCTCCCTTTGTAAGCCATGTTGTTCTGCTTTTTAACCTCCAGAATTCCTCTTCTTGATGATAAGCTTGATTCAAGTCTTTTTTCATACTCTAAATTTCCTCAATCGGAACAGTATGATCACGAATAGTCTGATCTATACGATTTCGAAGCATCTCAATCAGCAGAATTGGTTCTGTTATTCCTTTTCCACCGAGCCATTGCTTTTCGACACTGAGATAACTTGCTTGTAACACTCTCAGATTCAGACCTGCACCACGTAGACCGAACTGTATTAACAAAATCTTCCGAGTAGCACAACCGTTTATCATATCTGAAATGACCTCTTTTAATTGATGGCTCGTATTGAATTGATACAATAAGAGGTCGATGATCATGAAGAATCCTTGAGAGAAAGGAGGCGCAGAGTTGTGAAAGGGTTTTCTTATTGTATTTACTGAAGAATAGCGTACAATATATACTTAAGGAAGAGAACCTAATTGCCATAACTATAGAGTATATATGATTGACTAAATGAAAGGAAAGATAATATCAAGAAGATCCGCAATATCCTCCCTCAAGTTGGAGCATGCGCATTGTAAATGCCCAACTTGCGTAGAAACAAATGAACCTCCTTCTTTCCTAACGCCTTGGTGAGAATGTCTGCTAGTTGTTCGTGTGTCTTGACATGTGTTGTTGCAATGATTCCAGCCAATATTGCATCTCTGATATAGTGACAATCGACTTCGATATGTTTCGTTCTTTCATGTTGCACCGGATTTACACTGAGAGCTATCGCTGATTTGCTGTCTGAATACACTTGGATTGGCTCATCATGTTTGACCCCAAAATCAAGAAGTAACCGTCTGAGCCAAATCAATTCTTGCGTCAAAAACGCCATTGCTCGATACTCGGATGAGAGACTAACAGTTGGTTGCTTCCTTGTTTTCCATGATATTGGTGTGCTACCAAGCTGTACAAAATACCCTGTTAGCGATCTGCGAGTAAACGGACACGCTGCCCAATCAGAATCACACCAACCATACAACTTTAGATCCGACAATTTAGTAAGCAGAATTCCTTGGCCTGGGTTGGATTTCAAATATCTAACAACTCTGTAACGCAGCATCCCAGTGATCACGCCGTGGATTTTTCATGAACTGTGCAAGAGTATGGACTGAATAAGAGAGTTCTGGTCTTGTAACAGCCAAATATATCAACCTTCCCACTATCCGTCGATAAATTTATTTTCAAGCAATGGAGACTTGGAGAGTGAGAGTTTGTGATTCTGCTCCATTGGAAACGTAGACGGCTTTGCACCAAGAAGCCCCATTTCGGATATGATATCCAACACATACTTTCTTTGTGATAAATAGAAACCATCAGCATTCCTAGCAACTTCTATGCCTAGGAAATATTTGAGCAATCCCAAATCTTTCATGTGAAAACACGATGAAAGATAAGTCTTGAAATTTTCAAGATCAACCAAACTGCTTCCAGATACTATCAAATCATCAACATAGACTAAGACATGTAGAACTTTGCTGTGTCTGTTGTAGCTAAAAAGAGAGTAATCTGACCTTGATTGAGTGAAACCGTATGTCACTAAAGCTGTCGAGAGCTTTGCAAACCAGCATCTTGGAGCTTGCTTTAATCCATATAAAGATTTATGTAAGCGACATACTTTCTTCGGATCATCAGAATGAAATCCTTTAGGTAGTTTCATGTATACTTCTTCACTTAAATCCCCATGTAGAAAGGCATTATGTACATCCATTTGATGGACATGACAATTTTTAGCTGCTGCAACCCCAAAAAATAATCTCACCGTGCTCATTTTAGCAACCGGAGCAAAAGTTTCGTCATAGTGGACGCCTTCCTTTTGACGATTTCCTAAAGCTACTAGTCGCGCCTTATATCTTTCCACTGACCCATCAGATTTGTACTTTATCTTGTACACCCACTTGTTACCAATTGCTCTTTTTCCTGGTGGAAGATCAACAATCGAGAATGTCTTATTCTCTTGGAGTGAACCAATCTCTTTAGACATAGCTTCACGCCACAATTTGTCAATAACCGCTTCATTATATGACGATGGTTCCACTCCTGCAGTCACAGCTGCTAAAAATGCTTTGTGAGATGATGAGAAACGATGACAATCGATATAGTGTTCAATAGGGTATAAAGAGGTTGAATCTGCAGATACCGAAGCTGGAGCTACCGAGACAGTATTTGTAACAAACTCTTTAAGCTTTCCTGGTTTCTTTTTCTGGCGAAGTCCTCTGCCTAAATTTTCTGGTGCTGGAGCAATTGGTGTTGTAGCAAGTACCGACTGTGAATCACGGGGAGAAGTTTCCGATGTCGAAGCCTGATTTTCAATAGAAGACGATGAAATTGTTGTGGAAACATGTGTTGGAGCAACAACATCTGGACTTATCTCTCTTGTAAGTGGGCCAGGTTTCACATTTAGCCCATTATCCTCTATGATTTCAATTAAGACTGGGTTGTCGATCAATTGTTGGGTTGTGGAGCCCACGTTGCTTTCATCTTTCTCCTTTATCGCTGTAGCGTAAGGAAATTCCGTTTCTGCAAATTTCACATCTCTGGAAACTAAAAATTTTTCCCCTTCTAAATCAAACAATCGCCATCCTTTTTGGCCATGGGGATAGCCCACAAATATGCATCTCTGCGTTCTCGTGTTGAATTTGTCTCCCCCATGGTTTTGGTTGTGTGCATAGCACAATGAGCCAAATATCCGTATATGATCATATGTTGGAGCTTTCTTAAAGATCAATTCGTATGGTGTTTTGCCGTGAAGAACAATTGAAGGTGTCCTGTTAATCAGATATGCTGCTGTAAGTATGCATTCGCCCCAGAACTGAATTGGTAACTGAGATTGAAATCGCAGAGCTCTTGCGATATTCAAAATGTGACGGTGCTTCCTCTCAACTCGACCATTTTGATTTGGAGTCCCAACGCAGGAGGTCTCATGACAAATCCCTCTTTCCAGAAAATAATTTCGTAGACATAGAAATTCTGTTCCATTGTCGCTTCTCACCGTTTTGACTTGAGTTTCAAATTGACGGTCGACGAGAGCCAAAAAAATTTTCAAATGCATCTGTGTTTCACCTTTATCAGCCATCAGATATACCCAAACTCCTCTAGAGTAATCATCTACTATCGTTAAAAAATAACGAGCACCAGAATATGATGGAACCCGATACGGTCCCCAAACATCGCAATGGATAAGTTGAAAAAATTTCATACTCTTATTTTGACTTTGAGGAAACGTTTTCCGAGTTTGTTTGGCTTGCATACAAATGTTGCAAACACTCTCTGAAAAATCATTACAACTTGATAATTTAAGATTTGGAAGCAAACTAACAACTTTGGCTGATGCGTGACCCAAACGCTTATGCCACAAGTCTAAAGACTTCACGTTTGTATTCACCGCAGCAACCGACTCCATGCGACGAAAGTAAAAACTACCAGCTTCTCTTTTACCAACTCCAGTCACCATCCTCGTAGTACGGTCCTGAATCACAAGAAATTGATCAGCAAGTTGTACTACACAGCGATTCTCATCCATCATTTGTCCAACAGAAATCAAATCTGAAGTTAATTCCTCAACATAGAAAACAGACTTCAAAATCAGATGTGAACCAAGTCGTACTGTCCCTTGTCTTACAGCTACTCTTTTATTTCCATCAGCTAATATAATCAGAACCGGAGATATCTTGCGCAAATCAGTCAGCAAATCTAGCTTTCCAGTCATGTGGTGTGATGCACCGGTATCTAAGATCCAGTTAGAGTTAGAACACATACCCGTCAGTGTTTCGGTTGACCCATTTTTGTTCTCGTTTCCTTCAGTTCTCCCAGCATTCAAAAGCTTCATCACACCACGTCACTGTTCATCAGAGAGCCCTGTCACCGCATCACGATCACGGTCCGTAATCACGCGATTTGCATGTTCACCAGATGAGGACGCCACCGTTACAGCGTTTGCATAAGACTGGTTGCGATATTGCCCTCCATTGGAATTAGGCCCAGCTCGTCCTCTCCCTCTACCATATTGTCCATTGGTATTAGATCTTCCTTTTGGTCGGTCACCCCACCATTCTGGGTAGCCAATTATAACGAAACAGCTTTCCGAGGAGTGTCCACCACGATTGGAATGCTTGCAAATCCCAAACTTGTCTCGTTCATCTGGTTTGAAACGTTGACGTGTTTGAACTGCAAAGGCTGCAGCTTCTGGCTTTTCTTCTGTGAAGCGATGATTATTGATCATATCTTCTTCTTGTCTCACAATGTTATACACTTCTTCCAGACTAGGAAGAGGAACTCGAGCCGTCAAACTTGAGTGTACGGTGTGAAAATTTGTGTCATCAAGCCCAAACAAAAATTGATGAACCATGTCATCTTCTCTATCCTTCTCTTGTTGTGTTCCGAGGTTACATACACACTTTCCACACTTGCATGTTCTCAAAGGTATAGAATTCAAAAAAGTTTAAGAACACAGATTTGTAAAAGAATAACTCTCTTTTATTAACCTTTAGAAAAATCACTCAAAAACTAAAGGCTCTCAAATCTCTCTCTCTCAACTCATAAGTATTTGCAACAACTCTGCAACTCCTTATATAGAGAATGAATTAGCTAACTCCTAATTCCAATAGATAAACAAATTTCCTTTAGATAACTCCTAAATTTCCTTTTCTAATCCTAACCTTCTAGAAACACACTTTGATTAGGATTAGGAAACTTGCACTTCAAGTTTCTTTCAAGCTTATTCCAACAATCTCCCCCTTAAGCTTGAAATCTTCCTTAGAGACATCTTCAACACCAAAATTGAGAGTTTCACGCAAATACCTCAAAACCTGCTTCAATGCAGCTCCATGCGACTCCTCCATGATTACTTTATATAAATGATTATTTGATCTGTTTTCCTTCATAAGGAGTCTTCCATCTTGATCATGTAATGTCAGATAATCTCCTCTCATCCGAACATCACATCCAGCTTCTGTTGTTTGTCCCAAACTGATAATATTACTCTTTAAATCTGGTATGAAATAGACATTAGCAAGCACTTTTTTCCCTCCATCTTTACTGACAAAGAGGATCGATCATTTCCCCTTTATGTCTATCTGAGAGTCATCGCCGAATCTTACTTTTCCTGTGACCGTCTCGTCAATCTTTGAAAAGTAATTTCGGTTTCCAGTCATATGGTTACTAGCACCATTATCCAAATACCAAACATTGTCTCCTTCACAGCTTTTTTCAAATTCGTTTGGCTTCACCCTTTTTTCATTCAGATACACCACCTCGTGCATCATGAGTCGTTCAGCTTCATGTGTGTCATCAACGTCGTCGTCTTCCTGAGTCTCTTGAAGTTTGAGAAGTCTGTCAGGGCAATTAGAAGCGTAATGCCCTGTTTTGTCGCATCGATAACATGTTATCTCTGACAAATCTCTGGCTCTATTGAATCTTCCACGACCTCGTCCTCTGCTATAGAAGCGTCCTCCTCGACCTCTGTCTCTATTCTCTCCACTGTAGTCACGATTTTCCTGAGGTTCCATGTTTGCGTACATGAGCTTGCTTTGATCATCTTGCGTTTCTTCTTCTTCTTCTTCTCGAATACGTTCTTCGTAGGCTTTTAGTCTTCCGACTATGTCTTCGAAGCTTGTGGTGTTCAAGTCTAGCACCTGCTCAAGTGAAGCTACCATGTGTATATATTTCTTTCTCGGAAGACTTTTGAGAAACTTCTTGACAATCTTCGGTTCCTCAATAGTCGTTCCTAAAGCAGCTGACCTTGAGCAGATTTCGGACAATTTTCCACTAAAATCATCTATCGTCTCTGTGTCCTTCATCTTGAGTTTGTCAAACTCGGCCATAAGAGTTTGCAACCTTGCCTCTCGCACCCTTTCTGCTCCTACATGTCTTGATTTGATTGCATCCCATACCTTTTTCGCCGTGTCTAACTTTCCTACCTGTAGAATGAGCGTCTCGGGTACTGATTGAAAGATCAGGGCCATAGCAACATCGTTCTTCTCACCATCGGCCGCCTCTGTTTCAACAGTCTCCCAGACCTTGTGTACTCTGAGCAAAACCTTCATCTGCATGGCCCATACGGTATAGTTGGTTGAGTTTAACATAGGGCAATGGATTGAGGAAGTATTCAGTTCTTTTGTACGAGTACTAGGAACGATATCCCCCATATCTTGAGCAACAACCTGAAGCTCTGATACCAATTATAGAATTCAAAAAAGTTTAAGAACACAGATTTGTAAAAGAATAACTCTCTTTTATTAACCTTTAGAAAAAGCACTCAAACTAAAGGCTCTCAAATCTCTCTCTCTCAACTCATAAGTATTTGCAACAACTCTGCAACTCCTTATATGGAGAATGAATTAGCTAACTCCTAATTCCAATAGATAAACAAATTTCCTTTAGATAAATCCTAAATTTCCTTTTAGATAACTCCTAAATTTCCTTTTCTAATCCTAACCTTCTAGAAACACACTTTGATTAGAATTAGGAAATTTGCACTTCAAGTTTCTTTCAAACTTATTCCAACAAAAGGTCGATAGTTGTTAACGTTATCCCAAATCTTGTTGAGCTTTCCGTAGTATGATTCGACCGTCATACCTTGTTGTTTGCAGACCGCAAGATCAGCTTTCATCTTCTGGTTTCTCGGACCATTAGACACAGAGAAACGCTTGCGTATCTGATCCCATAAATCTTTTGCCACATCTCGATGTGAAATGTTCTTCAGCAGTTCTGGATCGATCGTCATTTTCATCCAAGAGACAAGCAGTGCATTAATAGTCAACCAATCTTCCAAATCTGGTGACTTTTCATTTGGTTGAGGAATGGTTCCATCAAGGAACCCGAATTTCTTTCTTGAGCGAAGTGCCGTTTTAAAACCATATGCCCATTCATCGTAATTGTTTGTCTTCAAGATTGGATGGGAGATCACAGCTCCCGAGTTGTCCGCCGCCGTTAAATCATATGGGGAAATCGTTCTTCTTACTTCAGCCACGGTTTGAGTTGGTTGTGGCTCAGTCATCTCTCTGTTTTGGTTTTATTGATTTTGGTTTTAATTGAAAAAAATGAGATCAGGCTCTTATACCATGAAGAAATCCTTGAGAGGAAGGAGGCGCAGAGTTGTGAAAGGGTTTTCTTATTGTATTTACTGAAGAATAGCGTACAATATATACTTAAGGAAGAGAACCTAATTGCCATAACTACAGAGTATATATGATTGACTAAATGAAAGGAAAGCTAATATCAAGAAGATCCGCAACAGATCAGATTCTGCAAGATCCAAAAATTCAGTTTCAGATGTTGGATACAAATTTATCCATTGAGTGTTGACTAAAACACGATCAAGGCAACACTCAATCACCTCAGACCTTCTGCGACCAACCCAACTGTAAGAGCCTTTGGCCTTGAGATCTTTCATATCACAAACACTCACCATTGTCTTAAAATCTTTAAAGCTTCCAGCAGTTCGTGTTTTACCTTCACGTTTCTCAGAAGACTCCAATATCTCATTAAAATCCCCGCACATCATCCATGGGCCCGTTCTAGAAATACCTAACCTTTGAAGACGTTCCTATAACAAATGTCTATTCTTTGGAACTGAATCTCCATAAATGCAAGACAAGACAAGTAGAAGTTAAATGACTTATATTCAATAGATAAATCCACAAGCCTTGCATCGGAGAAATTACAAAGAACAGAAAGACCACCACTTAGACCTACGGGAGAAACAATACAACTATCAGAAAAACCTAACAAAGCACCTATATCCCTAACATAGTCATCCGATTCTGTTTTGTTTCCACCAAGAACAACAAATTTGGAGAATACAATCTTTGTATCTCCTTGAGACGTCGAACTGTCAGGCGTTGTCCTAAGCTTAGACAGTTCAACACCTCAATTCTCATGGGACTGGTGGTGGATTAGGGCCCACCGCGCCTTTGAAATGGAGAGAAAAAGCGCCAGCCGCTTCCACGAGGTCCGGGTAGTCCGATTGGATCTTTAGAAGAGCATTACCATCATACAAAGTGTCGCCCTGCATACGCTTATCCACTGGAGATGTTTCAATCCTCAAACGCTTGTGAAGATGCCCTGCACTTATATGTTCCATTCCATCAACACAAACTTCAGCAGTAAAGTTTCTTTTACCTAGTTTTTTGGCTGACGCAGATCCCCCATCTGACTGGGAAATATCACTTTCAGAAAGAAAGGATTCATACTCCTTTAGAGGCTCATCGCCAAACCATCCTTCATCTTCAGAGGAGTCAACAGACGCCGCATTGTTATTCGGTGGTGAATTGGCCCTATCTGGAGTGGGTTCTGCAGCATCATCGTTCTGGTTATCATCATCGCATTGTGCAAGAAGGTTATTAATGAAGCGGCTTCGACGAACCACTTCCTCAAGTCCCAAACGAGGAATCATTGCTACCTCGTATGCTTCAAGCCCCAAAGCAGTTTCTCTATCCACGATTAATTAATGAAAGATCGTTTTGCACACACACAAAAAAAAAGGGACGAAATACTATTCTTAATGTGTAAAGTACAATGATTATTGTATATATATATATATATATATATATTTTGTATAGTTAATATCCAAATCTAAATCCGGCTGAATTTTGTGATGCAAGACAGAAAATTCATGTGGCCAAAACGATATTAACTAAAACAATAAATTTAATATAAATAAATAAACGTAGACCGTTTCTTTTGTCCACTCACCATCGTTCATGGAAAAAACCATCATCATCAACACTTACTCATGTAAATAAACGTTTTGGTGCAACAAGCATTGTGAAATACATGAAGGGATCCAAACTAATTTTCCCGGTAGAAAATAGAAAACCTTGGTGATGCAATATAAATTTTAATACAAATGCAAAAAGAGGAAGAAAAAAGTATGCCCCTAACTAACCTCATCATGAACATTAAATAACATGTGAAGAAAAACTTAAGACCAATCATGTGAACGTTCCTTTTTTGCGTTAACAATTAGTTGAACGTTTTACAAATTGGGAGTTATGAAAGTTTAATGTTATAATATATGTATGAGTCTCATCATTAAAACTCTAAGAAGAAAAGATTAGCGGATTCAATATCTTTTGACAACAAACAAAAAAAAAAGTGGATTCCATATCTTTTGTCAACAAAAAAAAAAAAAAAAAGTGGATTCTGTATGCACCAAAATTTGCGATCACTTATATATAAATAAATATGTAGGTTAAATTGTTGTGTACAAAATTAAAGGGGAAGTAGCTAGAGTGAGAAAAGTGCACATAAGATACGTGAGTCTCCTACTCCTAGTGTTCTTACAACAGATAACATGCCTCTATGCAATAACTCCTCCTGCGATATCGCCGTGGCCGTTGCTCTCCTCTTTACTGGTGCTCTATACATCTGCTTCTCTTCACGTCTGATTTCGGACCCTATCGCCGATCTCCAACGCAGTGTCAACAATCAGGTAAGTTGATATTCATAATATATTGGAAACTAGAGTAAAATATATATAGGAGATGGATATTAATACTCAAGTGGTGACAGAGAAGAACAAAGTTTCCGGTGGACGAGCTAGAGGCAGCGTTGGACAGGGCAGCGGCAGGAAACAACAAGACGGTGATAATAGCGATGGTGAACAAAGCGTACGTGGAGGATGTTGGAGTTGAGAGGACAATGATGGATCTGTTCTTGGAGAGTTTCTGGCAAGGAGAAGGGACTCTGCCATTGCTGGACCATCTTCTGATGGTGGCAGCTGATCAGACGGCCTACGATCGTTGTCGTTACAGGAGGCTCCATTGCTACAAGATGGAGACCGATGGTGTTGACTTGGAAGGAGAGAAAGTGTACATGTCAAAAGATTTCATTGAGATGATGTGGCGTAGGACTCGGTTGCTTCTAGACGTCCTACGCCGTGGCTACCATATAATTTTCACGGTTAGTTGTCACGGTTATACATAAAACACCAAACACACTTTCGTTATTAGGGTTTGGGACGTGATGTGTGGCTAATTTTGTCAGGACACGGACGTGATGTGGCTAAGGAACCCCTTCTCTCGGTTAAGCAACAATGGTAGCTTGGATATACAGATAAGCGTGGACGGAGGACACGCGATCAACACGGGCTTCTACCACGTCCGTTCCAACAACAGGACTATCAATCTCTTTCAGAAATGGTACGACATGAGACTAACTTCAAAGGGGATGAAGGAACAAGACGTCCTCAAGAAGTTACTCCACTCGGGCTACTTCGACCAGCTCGGTCTCGCTGTTGGCTTCCTCAAGACCACTTTCTTTAGCGGCTTTTGCGAAGACAGCACTGACATGGGAGCTGTTACCACCGTCCATGCCAACTGCTGCGTGCATATCCCTGCCAAGATCTCTGATCTCACCCTTGTTCTTCGTGACTGGAAAAGCTACAAAGCCTCACATGTCAATACTAAGTGGAGCCCTCATGTTAATTGTCGTCGTTCATGGAAAGACACCCACTATACCCCAAAGCACTGACCCTCTTCTCGTTTGTGCTAATGAGATTGATATATACAATTATACAAACAACACAATTAATTAATTAAGTGCACCTCTTGATGGTTTCTGTTTCTTGCCCTCCAATCAAAGATTAATCCTAGGCTCCTAGCTAGCTAGCTAGAGGCAAACGCACCATATTCTACTCGTGCTACAAAAACATTGTTTTTATAGCTTTTACGTGTTTCACAAGCTCCATTTGTTCATTGCACTTCTTTCCTTTGAGAAGATAGTTCTGGCAGCTGTTAACCATTTGCCTTTTTTGTTTTTTTTTCAATGTAAAATAAGAAGATATCAAGTTATTTAGATTTCCCAAACTTTTACAAAAGCTGCACTTGTTGTAACGGTTTGATGAATAAAATTTTACATTTAATCAAAAAAAAAAAAAAACTAACAAGAGTTAAAATTTCATGTCCAAAAGTTGCTTATCGACATTTTAAATTGAAAATGTAAAATGGTATTTCTCGTGTAATGCAGCCAATTCCACTCTCGTTGCACAACAGGTGTGACACTTCTGATATTTATTTTTTCGCTCAAATGTTGTTTCACTTCACATCATTTGTCTTAACCGAAATAGTTTCAAACATTTTGCCTCTGTTTAATTATGTACGGATCTTTAAACATGTTCCTTTTTCACTATACAACAAGCAAAAGAAAAAACCAAGCTACGAAAATTTTAACAAGAGTACTAATGTCGTGTACTCGTTTAGACGATGATGGAGACGGCGGAGAACGATCAGGCTGTTGTGAAGGAGCTACGGACGTTATAGTTTCAAGAGGGCAATGGAAGCTACAACGGCTCGGGCGAGCGATTCTGTACAGACCATTGCTTGCAAGTAAGTAGATGTCCTTCTTGTTGTCTTCTCCAAAGGAGAACACAAAGCCAAGAGGTGGAAATGAAGAGGAAGGCTCTGTTTCAGATGAGCAAAAGATTGGCGAATCCGAGGCACATTGTATGGGAATACGAGAGCTCGTGAAGTCTCCACTACCTACCGGAGTTTCTACTCCACCGAAAATAACTCCGGCGTATAAGTCTGCAAAGAGATACCTAAAAAGACAAAACAGAGGAATTGTTCTTCATTTTACAATATTGGTTTTGATAGATAAAAGAGAAGTGGAAAGAGAGAACGTACGTTCCATACAAGCACGGATCAGTAGAGGAACGATAAAAGTATCCTCCGGTTATTGATGCAGATCTTTCTTTCTGGTTTATTTCTGAATGATTGTACCACATAACCGGGAAGATCGGATTTTCAATCTTTGTTGATGAGTTGCTGAGTTTAGAGGGCTTAAACGGTAAAGGTCCCTCGTAGTAATGCCAACCATAGTTTCCTCCTTTAGTGATCATATCCACTTCTTCATAATTGTCCTGCAAACTCAACATGTAAAGAAAAGTTTATTGCCTCTTTTTGATCAATAATCTGAAGAGAAAATGTAAGAAAATGTTAGTACCTCTCCAACATCGGCACACAGGAAATAAGAAGGCCTATGTGAGTCAAAACTACAACGCCATGGATTTCTGACTCCCATGGCCCATATTTCAGGAAGCAGATTCTTATCTTGAGAAAACGGATTGTCCTTTGGTATAGAATAGTTTCCCCATAGATGTAACTCGCTAATCGCTTTTGCATCTGATAAAGAAAGAGAAACAAGAACCATTGTTCATGCATGTTTTCCTTGTGAAGATATAGCTACTTCTACTGTATTAGCATGTATTACCTGGAGCATTATTCACATCGAATCTCATGATCTTCCCCAGCAATGATTTCTTGTTCTGTGCAAAGTTGTGTGGATCTCCTTTGCTTCCACCATCACCCATCATGAAATACAAGTACCCATCTTTTGGTCCGAACAAGATTTGTCCACCGTGATGCGTTGTAAAAGGAAGACCCATTGTAAAGATTCGTCTTACCTCCACCGGTTTAACATAAGTCCCTGAAAAAACACATCAAGAACGTCTCAGCAAGAACATCCAATATAAGGAGAAAACACAAAAACGAAGGTAATACCATTAGAGAAGAACTCTGAGATGACACTATGGTATTGACATGGGCTTGCTCCACTATCAGAATCTAGCTTTGCAGGGTCACAGTCAACATCTGAGTTGCACGCGCATCTGCCAGCACATTCTGGCCACTTAAGTTTATCGCAGTTGAAAGAAACAAAGAATCTACCGTTTTTCAAGAAGTTTGGATGGAAAGCTAATCCTAGCAGTCCAAGCTCAGCATCAAAGTGCACTTCTTGAGTAATATCAAGAAACAGGTTAGTTTCGTCTATCTTCAAGATTTCTCCAGATCCTTCAGGTGGAATACTCACCGAGTATATTTTCCCGGCTTGATCAGACAGAAACACGCGGTTAGAACCATCGGGATGTGGTACCATGTTAAGATAAGAACCATTAGCAAGCTTCTCAAGGCATATGCCTGAAGGAGATGGACCGGTAACTTTTGAAACGTTAAAGGAGACCGCCTGGCCATTGAAGCACACAGAGGATTCTTCTGAAGCTCCACCAAAGACCTTGCAGAAGTCATTGCTTGATTTCCATATTTTAGAGATTGTGGAGTTGACATTACTACTGCTGCCTCCATCTCCAGCTTGAGATGCAAAAGGAGTGTTGGTTACAGAGAGATTCTGACATTCGTTCCAAAATCTGTCGCAGAAATCAGTTTCGGCTAGCGATTGTGTTGACTTATTAGAAGAAACTGTGGAGTTGCAGAGCGCAGGAACTTGTCTAGATACTGACTCAACACGGAAAAGCTCTGCTGCGAAAGGATCACACTTCTGCAACCATAAATAATCAAGTGATAGCTAGAGAGGTTTTGAAAAAACAAGAACAGAACAGCTTTATGTTTCTTGTAAACAGGCCTTACCGAGCAAAGTAACGATTTGAGAAGCGGAGAACAGTTCTTAGATACATTGATTACTTGAAACTGTCTCTGCAACTCCAAGTCCTCCTTGGAGTTACAGCATACACTTCCATTGAATTGACAAAAAGCGAGTGGTTGCTTCAGATTAAACGGTGCAGCTGACAAAGCAGTTCCAAAAAATCAGAAAAAGAAACGGCAAAGAACACAACAAAGTCACCAATCTAATCTCATGAGAAAAATAGAAAACAGAGAGGTACCTACTCAAATCATTACATAATGGATGTGACAAAGATTCTTTAGCAAGAAACAGCACAAGGTAAGAAAGCAAGACTGATCCTGAAGACAGAAAACCCATTTTTTTCCTTTCTAACAATTAAGAACTGATTGTTTTGAGTCTTCTGTAATATTTTTAGGATCTACCCCAACGCATGAAATAAACCTATAGATTGAATTGAAAACAATCTGAAAAAAAACAAAAAACAAAAACTCACAGAGTTCTCTCTACAGATTCCCACAGAAATGGAACTCTTACCAAGAAATCAAAGAGAAGACCATAGCTCCAGACAAGAACTGATAATATTCTTATAAATTAATGAAGACTTTTTTTTTTCAGTTGAACCAGAAAGACAACTAGCAGAATCTTTAATAAAAATCTAATATACAAATTGGTTTGAACTTTGAACCAATTAAATAATACAGAATGAATAAATAAATAAACTGTTGGGACTGATAAAAGATGCCAAAACAATCTTGATTTCAGACCTCTGTCTTACTCTAAACCTTGAAAACCAAGAACAGAACATTATCATAATTTGAAGTAATAAGTAATTAATTTATTCCAAGAAGGTGATTAAGGATTTACTTTAGCGCCAAAGAGATTCGCAACAAATTTACCAAAACCCTTAATTTCAGAATCTTCACATCCCAAATCAAATCAGATACTCCTAAAACGCACCGTGTTACCTCGCACAAAAACACTGCCGAACTAAAACGCACCGTGTTACTTCACACAAAAACACTGCCGAACTAAAACGCTGCGTCTCATCAGAGCTTTCCAGCAGAAATTTGAGATAACACGGTGTGTTTTAGAGTTTTGTCATGTGCATTGATTGGCGACAACCAAACGGTGTCGTTTTTCTGTGTTTTCGTCTTATGTATAATAAAAGTTATTAAATATTAATTATTAAAAAAAAAACAAATATCACAAAATCCAGATAATCTTTATTTTGGTTAAATCAAACGAGAAGTAACTTAACGATAAAATTTGTATATAACCTAATTAATATATAGGTGATCTCAAATTATAATTTAAAATATATATATTTTTAATTACTTTGAATAAACTAGCTAATAAACTTTAGATGGAAAATAATTTGTATATTTTTTTAGCTTATTCATTTTTTTTTTAAAAATATAATATTTGATTAAAAACAAAAGATGAAAAAATACGTTTATGATCACTAACAAATAACAACATAATTTTTTTTCATAAACATCTCATCAAATTAGTCTTAATACAAAATTACCACTAAATTAGAAATGGCTCTTGCCATAATCAATTTGTTGAAAGAACATTTGTATAACAAAATATAAATTTACAAGCAATGTTAGTTATATTTTTTTTCTTTGAACATCTAAGAACTTTCATTAAAGAAGAAATTCGTTAAGGCAGTACACCGTCACATAGTGACTGTTTTGCGATGGAGTCAGCCAATGCATTGGCTGCTCGAGGGATATGATCAAAAGAAACATTAAGGAAACATGTAGATAGCACAGAGATATCATGAGTGATTCCTATGATTTCTTTGATTTGTCACTGTTTTTTTTAATTGTGTTGATGAAGACTTGAGAATCTGATTGTAGATGTTTAGCCTAGGACTATATTTAAATATTAGTTATATTTTTTAATGTTTTTTATGAATGAAAAAAAAATAAACGCAAATTTCAAATTATAGTGTAATATATTTTGTAAAAAATAAGTTTTTATAAGTAATTTATTAAAATTAGACCCTACACCAATGTTTCCCAATCCATAACATAATTGATAACACGACCTTGTATGTCAAACCGACTTTGTGGTGTTAATCTTGATCGTAAAAATCCACCTGGTCATATCTTGACCGTCAATCTCATTTAATAGCTGATCTATAAATAGTGCTTCCCCTCTCGTTCGCTCCAAGTCCAACTATAATTTGAGGATTTGTTTTTTCTGATCTGAAGAGTTTAGGGTTTTCTGCGTTCTTCGTGTTTCAGTTACGTGTACGATGTTTCAGAGATTTCCAAACGAGTCCTCTTCGTTCTACACCAAATTATACCAGATTGTTGATGATCCTTCGTTCAATCGAATCATCTCTTGGGGCAAAAACAACAACAGTTTCATCGTTTGGGATGTTGAAGGGTTTCGCAGAAGGATCCTTCCCATGTTCGCAGAGTTTGGTAGGGATTTCTCGAAGTTTGAGTCCGAGCTTTTCATTCATGGCTTTAGAAGAATCGGGCAATATGAGTTTGGACATGAAGATTTCGTGAGAGGTGTACCTGAGCTTTTGATGAAGAAGATGTCGGTGAAATCTAGGACTGAGGGGATGGAGAAATTTGAAGCTAAACTCAAACCAAGACGAATTATATTCAAACCAAAGAAAGCTATAGCCAAAGAGGAAGTAGCCAAAGTGGAGGATCTCTTTCAACAATTACAAATTTGAAGTCATCTCAGTCTTTTATGTGTATCTATAGTTTAGTGGTAAAGCGATTTAAGTTTATTTTCAGAAACGGTATATGTTTATCTAACCTCTGGTTTTATGTTTTGATCTATTGCCAAGAGATGTTTCTTACTTCTTGTGTAGATTGTCCATGATGCAAAACTTTAAAGTTTAAGTTAACATGATTCTCTTGATGTCAATAGGAAAGAGCTTGTTGGAGCTTAATTTCCATCTTTGGTTTAATTTAATTCAGATGTCATTAACTTCTTTTTTTTTCTTTTTTGTGGGGTTTATTCTTAAGTTTTTTTTTGGCTTGTGATTGTTGTTGTGCCTCTGATTTGTTATAGTTTTTTCCACTCTCACTTTCCTTGTTGTATTATTTGTACTCAAGAGAATTGTAAGGGTTCGAGTTCCTCACGGTCACTGGTTAGATTTATAAAATTTTGTCCGGATTATTTTTGTCAAAAACGTAGTGTCATCTACAATATGTCAAATATCTCGCAAGCTACTATTATTAGATGATTGTGTTAACTTCGAAGGCTATGGTGAATTAACTCGTTCCATACGTTTTAGGGTTTGGTTATGTTTGGTGTCGACGATACGAGGTCGTTTTGATTTTGGACATAAACACAAACAAAAATAACCTAGAACCATTATTATTAATTAATAATGCAAAATCTATATCAAACCGACTTTCTAGTGTTAATCTTGACCGTAGAAATCTACCTGGTCATATCTTGACCGTAAATTTCAATTTATAGCTGATCTTTTAAATAATGCTCCCACTTCTTCGCTGGATCCTACTATAATAATAATTTGGGGTTTGTTTTTTTTTTTTTTTCAGATCCGAAGAGTTTAGGACTTTCTCCTCTCTTTCTCTAGATTTCGATTTGAAAAGCGGTTTCCCTAACCGAAGATCTCAGGTTTGCTTCTACTTCCTACAGCAAATAGGACGGTGTCTTCATTAGTTTTGAGTTTATTGTCGATATTTGTCTTCCTTATTTCGCACGTTTCACCTAAGAAACTAGGGTTTCACCACGGATAAGGATTATGAATTCTTTTATTCGATGTGTACATTCGTTGTAGCTATCTAGTTCTCTCTTCTTCTTTTTGTTTTTATTTTGTTATCGTAATTAGGGTTTCATTTCAAGTGTTTAGGATGGTTCACTCTTTTCCAAGTGGGTTGCCAACATTCTACATAAGATTATATCAGATTGTGGATGACCCTTCGTCGGATGCAATCATCTCTTGGAGCAAAAGCAACAACAGTTTCATCGTTTGGGATCTAGAAAATCTTTTCGGAGAGATTCTTTCGAAATCCGTAGAATTTGGCAGAAATCTCCTACAATTTATTTCTAAGCTTCAGTCTTATGGCTTTAAAAAAGTCATGGGGGCTGATCCATTAGAATATGGACACGACGGTTTTGTGAGAGGTCAACCTCAGCTTTTGAAGAAAGTTTGGATGGACAGGAAGAAGAGATTAGCTCCAAAGAGAGCTAAAGCAAAAGTAAGGAAAGCTAGAGCTAAAGTAGAGCATCTCTTGCAAGATTTACGAATTTGAAATCACAGAAAATCATCTTTTTTGTAGCTAATTGCATCAGTTATCTCCTCTACATAGGCAACAAAAGTAGGAACTCTTTTATCTTTGATCGTTAACTACTGTAGCAATTTTTCAATCTCAACGTGATAAACTGATATCCTCAAATGGATCACAACACATTCATGGATATTGGAAAATGCCAAGAATAATTTTTATCAACTAAGAAAACATCTTGTTATTAACATTATATATAAACAAGCATTAAGCCATAAGATACCTCTGAACAATAGACAAGAGAGAGAGAGTTACATTCAATAATTCAAGGTTATCTCCGTATTAATTATGCTGCTTTTAAACAAGTCCTGTCCCTATATTGAGATTTATATTTGTTTTTGATGAATCGTTACCCACTGAAAAAGGTACAATCTTAACCTCTTAACATATACTAAGAAAACATTTCTTAACATTATATATAAACAAAGCTGAACGATAGACAAGAGAAAGCGACTTTAGCCTCGTATAGTACAACATATAAAACCATACATTTTTCGAAATAAAAATAGAATAAAATATGCTTAAAATTTTTTTTTTTTACCTCCCCTTTAGACTTTACTATAATTAAAATTCATTAGTTTATTACAACATGGATTGGTTCTAAAAAGAAACCACAAGGGTCAGGAAGTAGAAGACTCGAAAATAGAGATTTCTATTACGACTGTGAATGGAAAGAACCTAGAGGTTGATGATAGCTTGAACACGATCGACCTCAAGATCCATGGACCAACCCGTTGGTTCTTCGTCTCGGTTCGGAACCAGATCTGGATTCGGATCCAAGGCATCCATGCAGATTTATGTATCAACCTTTGAGCTGGGAACATTCAACTTTATGGTGGAGAGGACGGAGACCATTGAAAACGTCATGCCCAAGATCCGTCATGGTGAATCGGAATTAGTGGGGTTAAAGACGTTTTCGGACCAAGAGTTTCTCTAAGGCCTCTCCTCTATAAGTGGAGCATATAGGCGAGAGAAATGGTGAGCACGCATAAATCTTAAGACCAAGACAAAGAAATAAGTGAGTTTATTTTTTTTCCCAGTAGATTAAAAAGAAACTGGAAGATATAAGAACATGTTAGCCTTATTAGAAATTGGGAAATAGGGGTGTAATGTACCTTCCTGCACGCATCACAACATTCTAGTCTACTGGAAACCTATTAAGGCAATGTAATGGATATTTGCAGTATTCAGGGAAAACTGCTCAAAGTGAGTCAAGAGTGAAGCACACTGCAGTCTTTATTAAAAAGAAAAGAAGAAAAAAGATTCATTGGAATTCAGAGATGACATAAACAATAGTTTAAAAGTATAAGGAAACAATAAAATACCAGGATTAAGAAGACTGGAGTTTCAGACATGGACCGAAGCAGCATATAAGACGTTAACACTGTATGAGCGAGGATGCAGTTTCAAAACAGCACCAGACCATTCAATCTTACCCCAGATCTCGCCTCCCTCGCGCCTCTCCACGGAAATCTCGGCAGACCAAAGCTCCAAATGCTTAGGATGTTCAAGCTGCACGCTCCAGAAGATGACAATATTCCCAGCAGAGTTGCTGCTGAGACTGCTGATTTCATAATTTATATCGATTGGTTTACTGTACAGTGCATCCAAGGCCCCATGGTAGTACAGTCTCGAACCAGAAAGAGAATTTTTCAGGTCTTCCTCCAGGCCTTTCACTTCTTTCCAATCAAACTCATCATCTGGCTCACACCAAAGTATTCTCCGGCGACTTTACTTTTGCACAGAGAATTTTGTCTGAATTAGTATTTTTGAAGTCGTTTCTGTTTATTTATTAAAAAGTAAATTTAGATTGAAGCTAACTACTTTACTTTTTTAAAAAAAAAATAATTTTCATTAAAAATAAAATATTCTTTTTACTGAATAAATAATTAAAAATATTAAGTTTATATTACTCTCTAATATGATAGATGTTTTTTTAAAAAAATTGTTTCAAAATATTAAATATTCTCTTGTTAGAAATATAATTTTCAATTTATTGAATAATGTTTGATAGATAATTTGATCATTTTTTATAATTCGTTATTTAGTTGAATTGCATTTAATTATACTAATAATTTTTTATATCTTAAAGATCATAATATCTTTTTAGAGTGATTCTCAAGCTCTGACATTTTATACGTTTCCAGACAATACTCTGACTATTTCTTCACTTTCTCTCTATGGCGGTTTCTAAACCGTAGAGCATTTCCACCAACAAACTCCTCTTTGACTTATTTTTTCACCGCAAAAGGTCCATCACCACTCAAAGGCCCGAGTCGATATCATCTTTTTTAGAAACGCTCGGCCCACTGTCCTTCACTTGTTTTCTGATCTCTTTATGCTTCCCGATTAGCCACTTAATGGTTTTTTTGGTTGTTTTCTGATTTAAATGTTAGAGAGCTTTTGGAAAACATACCCCTATCGTGTTTTCCAGAATTTCACGTATTTCTCAGTTTGGCAGGAGACTTGCCCCGCTGAAAATTAAAAATCACCTAAACAATTTGGCGCTAAAAGGAGGGGGGCAACACTCTCCTGTAAGAATAACTACGACGTGACACAACCAAAGAGTATGTCATGACGAAGGAAGACGAAAATAGCTCGCCAAAGAATGACACCTTGGAGAGGGCGGAAGAAGAAAACATCTGCCGGACCGAAGAACCTACTACATTGTTCTCGGGGCGTTAGGAGATAGGAGAGACATCTTTGGTTCCCCCGCTTCCCCCAAACGCCCACTCGGAAACTCCTTCAGAGCGTGGAAGAAAATGCTCAGCTCAAAGAGAAGGTGGACCAGTTCTCTCGACAGCTGATCTTAGCGGAAGTCCAGAGATACCATGTTAATGATATAAATATTACATAATTATCATAATACAATAATGATAATAATGATAATACATGAAAAGTTCTTAATTTTGCAGTCAATGATATAAATATTGGTCTTTTTATAATACAATACGTTGAAAAAAAAAATATTACAATAACTTTGAATCTTAATAGGCTCGAAAATGAAAAAATGCTCTTAGCGAGTGGTTCTTCGGTCTGGCAAATGTTTTCTTCTTCCGCCCTCTCCAAGGTGTCATTCTCTGGCAGCTGATCTTAGCAGGCGTCAGGAGATAGGAGAGACATCTTTGGTTTCCCGCCTCCCCCAAACGCCCACTCGGAACTCCTTCAGAGAGTGGAGGAAAATGCTCAGTTCAAAGAGAAGGTGGACCAGTTCTCTCGACAGCTGATCTTAGCCCAATCCATGCAGAGAGTGCCATCGACTCGGAAGTCCAGAGATAGCGTGTCAATGATATAACTATTACATAATTATCATAATACAATAATGATAATAATGATAATAATGATAGTACATGAAAAGTTCTTAATTTTGCAGTCAATGATATAAATATTGGTCTTTTTATATTACAAT